TAATACAAGATTATGATTAGATCGAGTCAATATTTACTAAAAAAAAAAAAATCAATCAAAAAAAAATGAACTAACATATTTACGTTAATATTTGAAAGGTACGCAATTACCATTTTTGGGGGAAACTTTGATTAAACTGAAAATATACTAAATATATAATGTATTTTATATATAGGTCTAAACTCAGACAACTCAGTCTAAACTCAGAATAGGAAACTTTTGAATCGAGAACAAACTTCATCATCATCAATGAGATCAAATTTGGAGTTAAATTAAATATCATTCGATAAAGAGGAACAATTACAAGATTTTGAAGAGGAGATAATCCTATTGTTAGTTGTTCGTATTTAGATAAATTAGATAAATTGAACAAAGAAATCAACAAGTCATTAAATGATTTATCCAATTTCATACATTTCGTTTAACAACGTCAATAACATGTTACATGATGTTATAATGCATTTGAAATGGTTTCCACGAATCCACGTTTACCTTTAATGTTACCATCTCATGACCGCAGTAACAAGCATCAAGGTGATACAGAAGAAAATGTGGTATGCATCTTTTAATTTAATGTAACAAATAATTTAAGTTTTATTGGACATTCGTTAACAATTAAGTGACCTAATCTAGAAAATATTATATTTATTATACAATCAAATATAACGCTATGTTGGACAAATTAAAATATTAAAAACAAATAATTCTATCCAATAATATTAATATTATAAAAGTTAAGAAAAAGGGAGGGAGGAAGAGTGATTACAATATTTTCTTTGGTACATTATATATATATTATATTAAAATTACATGTAACATTGCAGCGTGCAACCAGGCAGGCCGGAGGGAAAGATTAAACAAAGCAATCAATCAGCATAGATAAGAAAGAATCATCATTGAAATAATTGATAATCCCATGGTTGTGAAAGTATTTGATAATAATATGGATGATGAGCTCGTGGAAGTGGAATTTGTAGAATTTCCTTGAACTTTGTTTATTACATCACCTTTAGCGTTAATAGATGAGGGATCAAACCCTGGAATTGTACCCGTTATATCTTGAATGACAAATCTAGTGGACCAAACATCATCGACACCAGAGTTAAATTTATAAAAATAAAATCTTCCAGGTGGACCTAAACCAGGTTCAATTTTATAAGATATTTTACCAACTGTTGGAAGAACTGTACCCAGGTCCTTAACTTCAATTTGATTATCATTAGGTCCTGTCATTAATTTAATATTAATATTTGATAATTCAATTAATTTCGGTGCTGTTCCATCTTCCACCCATCTTAATTCACATGGCGCTTTTGAAGAACACGTTGTAGTTTTATTCACCACTGGTAAGAGATTTGCTTCTATGACAGAAGAGAAGAATAAAAGGCACAATACCAAGAAAAAGAGAGATTGCTTCATTTTTTTTTTTAAAAAAAAAAAAAAAAATTAAAATGAATGAAAGTTTGTATAATAAACCGCAGGAAAATATTGGTTTAAAAAAATTCGCTATCTAAGCGATAAGCGATCTTACAATGAATGAATG